CTAGCGCCCCCTTCATTTCCGGAATGCAATTGTCCCATTTCCATATAAGGTATGGGACTGACGGAAAGGTCTGTCACCGCCCCGATCTGCATGCTGCAGCGAAGTGTACTTGGGTGAGCTTTTGTCTTTGCACTCGTCTCAAGCAATGCTAAGCTAGTCGACATTTTGACTATTTAGCTAGCTGCTTTTCCACAGTTTAAATTATTATTTTCTTATCTGTATAATCGATCATGCGTGTAAGTGTCACTAAACTGATTTATGTTATGAAAAAATGTATGTTTATTTCTAACTGTTAGGTTTATGTATTTTAAGTTGTTTGGTTTACGTTTTGAAATTCATGTAAAATGATTATATTTTATTTCGTGTCAAACTATTTTTTGTTGGAAGTTATCGCGAGATTTGTGTACATGTGATTGTGCTGCGAGACTTGGATGAACAGAGAATGAGCGGAAGCTTGGAGGTGAGCGCCTGCAGCAGCCTTGTCTCGTGTTGTTATGGTATTTTGTAAATTTATTGGTTGTGGTGTTTTAATTATTTAATACTTTGATTTAGAACAGAGAACGAAGTGATATTCTTCTAAAGACCAACCTCCGAAGTGGCAGGCGGCCACGAGGTAACTTTGTTAAAGCACGTGTCATCTGTCTGTCTGTAAATGTATCTGTCTAAAGTTTTGTGTTTTGTTTTTATAGTTTTCACGGCATTTAATAAAAAAGCCCGTCGAAAGAAAGCCGTGCCAGTGTTGTCACTTTGGAGTTACAATGCGTAAACAGAAAGGAGAATGTAGAAGTGACTTAATTTAAAAATGCGAATGGAGGACAACAGAGCCAAYTTATGGAATGCTAACCGCAGCTAGCGTTTTAGCTTCCCGTTAGCGTCAAAGCTAATGGCTCGCTAATGCCAGGTATTTAAAGCAGGAATGGCGCTAACTTCCGAGCTAGTAATATTAGCTTAAGAGTGAATCCTTCATACGTATTAGTAATTTAAATACGTTAGTTTGGGAGCTGATGTGAAGGCTAAAGGCTAAATTTGAGGTGAGCTCTGTTGTATAGTAGCTTAGTAGCTAACGCTTTACCACAATTATTAATTGGAAATTACTCTTTCAAAGATTCTAAGCTTTCCAATAAAATTATTCGACACACTTTCGATCGTATTATTTATCCCACCCTGCCATTTAAAAATTCCATTCGTCAAAATTTTCCACCACAATCAATCCATAAATTACGCACTAAATACCTCAAATTTCCAATTGCACCAAGAGCCAAAGAAATCC